ATGCCGGTGGCAGAGAGAGTGCTTATGTGCATATGGACATTGATGACTCTTAATTATGAAAGGCTAAATCTGCCATTCTTGCTAAATACAACATTAACCCTGAGACTTACAGACAAAGATTCCACTGGACGTCAACCCTGATGAGAGCCCTAAAGACTTGTATGTGAGGCTCAAGGAGCTCTTTGGGATACCAAAAGGTAAAATCATCCCAGAAGTAAGTTAAAGGATCATCCTAGAACAATACTTGAGAATGTTGTCCACTGAGCTTCAGGTATGGATCAAAGAGCGTGACACAGATTCAGCAACGGAGGCTGCCATGCTGGCCGATGTCTTTGTGGCTGCACGAAAAAATGGTCAACCATGGAGCTACAATGCCTTGAGGACGACAAAGGACAGCCACAAACCAGCCCAACAGTTCTAGGGGGCAGCAACCAGTGTGGGTAAGCCTCCAATGTGGGAGGGCCAGCCAGCTTCCACGCCAACAAAAACCTGTAGCAAAAAATGAATTTGTCATCTAACAAGACGTTTTTGAGTATGTTTTCTTGTTAGCTTTATTGTATTTACTTGGAATACTTAAATAGTTTGTCTGTCTGTTACATGTTTCTCTTCAGGAGGGCCACTCGGCAAGCCCCTCTGGGTTTATTTTGCTCCTTCAGCACATTTCTTTAAAAATGTATATTTTGTTAATTAACTATTCATTATGTACTGTCTGTTTTTTCATTGCTCTATTTTATTATTTTTATTTTTTTAAAGTGTAATAAAAAAATGTGGACTTGAAGGCCATACTAAACCCATGTGCCTGAAAAAACGTGGCTAAGATGACACAAATGTGCTTTGTACCATGTCCTCACATTGAAAATGATCTCAAAAATGACTGTTCTATTAAAATGCAAAACCTTGAAGTTAATGGAACGACTCTTGGGGCCTTGCTCAAGTCTGGGAGTGATTAGACACCTTAGACATTGTTGTTAGAGAAGGTGCTTCTGTTAGAAGATTAAGGTACAGGATCCCTCAGCTACTGCTGGCCTCACTGAGGGGGGGAGGTTGACCTGATGCTGTCCTTGTGGATCTTCGAGGCTTCAAAGAGCGAGTGGTGTAACCCACTGGTGCTCGTACCGAAGAAGGATGGAAGCATAAGGTTATGCATCGATTTCAGTTACCTGAATTCAATTCCTCAATTTGATTCCTATTCAACATCAAGAATTGTTGATCAAAATACTTGACCACAATAGATCTCTCCAAGGGTTATTGGCAGGTTCCTCTCACTGAGCGGTCATGGGAGTTGACAGCTTTCAGGACACCATGGGCCCTATCAGTTCACAGTAATGCCATTTCAGTTCCACGGTGCTTTCCACCTCCTGTTGCAATTAATAGTTTTAAGCTCTTGCCTTTAGAGTATTGATGTCCGAGACCATGAATGCATTCTGTGCTAGAAGTCCTCACTGAATAGATAGTTGTGCATGCTCACATGAAAAACTATGCTGAGGTTTCTGTACTGTTCTGTTACACTAGTTATTTGTATTTATTCATAAGAAATATTAGAGTTATTACCATTTTATTCATGTTTGTTGAGAAATATTTTTATTTTAAAAATAATATATAAAGATGTATGCCAGTTTTCTTTAAGTCTATGAATATTGTCTTTGGTGGTCAAACTGTCTGCAATATAAGGGGCAACCGCTGAAATTTTGCCGAGGGCACCAAAATGGTTAGGGCCGTCTCTGCCTATAACTTAAAGGTCCCATATTATGCAGAACACACTTTACCATGATTATCTTACTCTAATATGTGTCCCCAGTCTGTCTACAATCCCCCAGTTGTTAGAAAAGTAAATCCTCTTCTTTTGCCTGCTCCACAAGGGTTACGGCAGCTAGCTGTTTGTTCTGCCCTCCGAGTCTGCCTTCTCACGGTAAAAAAATTGGGCATGGAGCGAGAAAGTCCACACAAAGAGCCACATCCTCTTTCAGAGAGGAGGTGGGGTCAGACACAGCTCATTTACATTTAAAGGTACAGACACAGAAACAGCCTGTTCTGAACAGATAGTCACTGGATATGCTAATATCTGCAGATATTATGCTGGCTGATTTATCGGTCGAGCTCTGGATGCTAATGCAATTAAATGTGTAGCCTTTGCACGCAGTTGACGTATAACCCCAAAATCTACAGGCTCCTCAAATGTATTTATATTTTTCTGCTGTGAAGTTAAACAACTTCTGACTTGCTCAAAACCACCAAACATTCAATTATTTTCAGGATTGTAACCCTTTAAATGCTAGGTTATTAGTTGAATGGTGATTTGAGTCTTGAATATGTGAAAGACTAGCAGCAAAGTTGATTTGATTGTATTAGTCTGTTTTGTGTACCCTCTGGACACATAAAATCTGCAATAAAATCATAAATATTTGTATAAATTGCTGTTTTTCTGCTTTCTTTTCTGCTCTTTTTTTTTATAGCTTTTGACGGTGGGAAAGAGGGAAAGGCCTTTCTCCCTCGCCCCTGGTCTCAGGGGTGTGTGAGAGACAGGGAAGCTTCAGGCGAAGCCTCGCGCAATTTTTTTTTGCCATTTAACAAGTGAAGACTGCAGGTATACATCATACAGCGATCTCTTTCGAGGCTCAGTAGGGAGGGAGAGCTCTCGGAAGAGGAATGTTTAGCAGGTCAATAGTGTTTTTACAGTGTGTGATTTCAATTTGGCTTTGTTAACTGTTTGTTTATTTGGCAGGGACAGATGCAGTATACATGTAGAACTGAACAGCAATTTTACAATGCACCACAGCATGTATAGCTAAACCTAATTTCCAATGCCTGTCCCTGAAAAGACCTTCAGTATAAAATACATGATAAAAATATATGGAGAACATGCTTACAGAAAAAGCTGATCCACTCACTCACATACATATACAGTAAATACATCTATACACATATGACTATTGTTATTGCCCTTTTCTTTTCTCTGAAAAAGGCTTTTGTTAATCTAGTTTAGAGAATTGTCAACCAATGGCCTTTAATTTGCAGTTTATTGGGGTTGTTCCGTTGGACTGACACCGGCAAGGCAATCAGAATTAATGTTGCCTGTGATATTGATATCAAACGAATTAATCTCCCCAAGACAGCGAGATTATATTTCTTAAATACCAGCAGACTTAATGTTTTTCCTGTTTAAAATCTATACATAAAATGAGAAGTTATAAATTCAAACCCAGAATGCAGCCAAAAAGTACAGACGAAAAGAATAGCATTTTGTTAGAAACCTCCATTTGACAAATAAGACTTGATGAAGACATCAGTGCAATCCTTACCCTCTCATTAAATATGGGTTGACTGCTGAGCTGGTTCTGCTGTATTTCAATATGATTCCCTGTCACTATCACATACGATAAGACAGCTCGACTGTCGAGTTGTCGTTATTTCTATTAGTGTCTATATGATCTGCCTCCCACTTATTTCTATTTTTGTTTGTTGTCTTTCACTCTTCAGCACACACTATGTCAATCTATCAAAGTCTCACTTGGCTCACAGTCTGAACATATGATGATTTTTGATCCCCCGGAGGTATAGTTACGTTCTCCTTATGCTATCTGTTCTGAAACACTGTGGACTTCATAATGATGTCACTGTGTATCAGCTCTGCACTCATCCTCCTCCAACTGTACATTATCTGTACCGCTCTAGAAAGATGATGTAAATCCTTAAAATGCCACCTACTGTATATTCTAATTGCACAGCTGAAGTTTACAATGCTTTACCTCCAAATCTTTTCAGCTATTTCAGGGCGGACCTTAAAGCAACATTATTTTGGAATTTGCTTTGATGCGCATCGCCCCCCACTGAAGGTCCCTGAGTGAAACCCCTCTGTTGTAAATCACACATAGTACTGTTACGCCTCCTCTTCATTGACAAAAAGATTAGATTGTGCAAAAACATTAACCTTGCTCATGTTGTTGAGCAAGGCTAATCTGCTGCATATGTTGGGGAGGAAAATATCTCTTTTGAACAATTCAATGTACCCACTTCATCAGGGGAATACACAAGGTATGTAAATCCAAAAAACAAATCCTGCATACTCTGTATCCAGTCTGAGCTTTTTATGTGGTTTTATTACAGGTGGGGACACAAGAAGCGGTCACCTCCATCCACCAACAGGCTTCCGTTCAGAATGTCTCACTCCTTACAAGTTACTGTGTTGCCTGAAATTGTATTCAGAAATGCTTCAACTCTCCGGAAAAAGTAATTGGTGTCGACAAATTACATGCCACTTAAAAGACGGCTTTGGCATACGCTGTGGACCAAAATGTGTAATAATGTATAAAAAAGAGAGACAACAGGAGCACCTCCGGTATTCATCAAAGCACCGGTGCTCATCATGGAAAGGAATATTCAAAAAAAGGTGGAGGAAAACTTTAAAACAAAAAAAAAAAAACACTGGTAAAAATGATGCAGGTCCAGTCAAGATGATTTTAAAAGTACAAGAGGTCTTTATAATTTATACGCATTGGTGTATTGGATCACTTATACCGATGACTTTTGGTTTTATTTGCTCCATTTTTTTAGTACAGTATGTTGGATATATATAATACATCTCAAATATCTGAAGAACCCAACACTCAAAGCCTTAGGTAAGGCTACAATCTTGCTGATTTTATTTGGTAACAAAGTAGAGACTGTATGTAACAAAGTTCCTGACAACATCCCTTCCCCTTGGTAAACTTTTTGAAACCTGAGTGCGGAATTAAGAAAACCTGGAAAATTTTGGCTCCTGCCTCAAAGCTGCTGAATTCCTGAAAAAACAACAGACTGCACATACTTCATTGACCCTCCTCTCTCTCTCTCTCTCTCTCTCTCTCCCTCTCTCTCTCTCTCTCTCTCTCTCTCTCACTCTCCCTCTCTCTCTCTTACTCTCCCTCTCCTCTCTTCCTCCAGTCGTGTGTGGGGAGATCTCTCTTGGAGCTGGAGAGGAGAGGTCGGACGTCTCTCTCCTCCAGCAGCAGCAGCCGGGTTTCTCTGCTTCAGCCTTTTCTCCGCTCCATCATGGATCTGTGGACTAAAAGTGTCGCTGGGATTATCGCTCAGGTCGCGCTGCTGCTTCTCTCCAGCTCGCACAGGACAACCGGAGAAGGTGAGCAGGCTGTGCGCTTTTTTTCCCACTTTTCACTCCCCCCGGAGGAGACGGAGTGAGTCCGGGCAGCGCAGACCCCCGAGGGGCTGCTTTAACGGGGCTTCATCCTACTGTCGCTTGGGGAAATACAAGGCTTTTGGAAACACCTGTGTCTCTTTATCTTTATGTGTAGTATGTTTATTGGAAAAGGTGCGGGGACTTTGCTCTTTATGAAGGAGAAATGTTACTGCTCTCTTTTGCGCATCAGCGCACACTTTCTGTTGTAAGAGTTTAAGTGCAGTGGGTCGTTGTTGCTCCCTGAGCAGGTAGAATGGACCATTTGCACAATTTAAATTACCGAATTTCCCTTTCCACTGTTTTGCTGCTGTTTTACTACATCCAGCGTCTGACTTGGCACATTTCCATTTGCGTATTCAAAAGATGATTTTTCCTTTGACAGGAATTTTGTATTTCCTTTCTCTAGCTCTGATAGAAATTCTATTTTATTTTCACCAAACCATGTCCAGAAGCTGTTCATCCACTGGGTGCGGAAGGCAACGCTTTGGCTGAATTTGTTTCCTGGTTAATGTGATGGAGCAGCGTGGTGGTCACGTTCGGCTCACACACTTCAGAGAGCAGCCAGAGTGTGAACAGCCTTTGCAGTTTAGAAATGTTAGGATGGACCTGCAAGCTTTCTTGTTTTTATTATAGGACTTCTGTAAAGGTGAAATTAAGGAGCAGCTGTTTTCCCCAAACACTGATCCTGTTAACATATATAAGGGCGAAGAGAAGAGAATTAAATCTGTGCAAAGAGAAGTACTAGATAGATTGATGACGTAATGGCACGCCTACATTTCGCCTCAATGAAGCAGGTGGTTGTAAAAAGTTCCTCCATCCTTTTTCAGATTTGCAAGTTCTGCATGCATCCTCATGCTGCATGCATGGATATTTGTTACCAACATCAGCCACCTTTCCATGCCTGTAGTCCTCCATATGACTGAACGTCTCTCACACATCATCATGAGCCTGTCATACCGGGCACAGTAATCACTCAGGTGTGATGGTTCTGCTGCACTTTAATGGAAAGGCAGTCGACTGCAAGACAGTTAGGGATTGACGCAAGACAGATCACTTCTTCTGCAGAGAACAGAGGTGATGAAAGGAGGTGTCTATTGGTAGTTTTATTTATCCACATTTCTGTCATCTCCCCCTTGAAGTCCTCCCCCTTTCTGTCTCTCCTCCTCCTGCTGTTTTTTCTCCTCTGGCTATTTTTTGTCTCTAATACGGTATTGTCTCTTGTCTTTCTGCTTGTTGCGTGATGTATTCCTGCTGTTTTCTGTCAGCTTCTGGCCTCCTCCTCTGTCCTGGTAACACATATGTCTCCCCTGGTCGATGCAGGCTTTCTCTCTCTCTCTGCCCTCCTGCTGTATCCGAATCAGAGAGCTGCCGCTGTGTTGCTGTAGCTTTCCTCCCTAATTCTTCTTCTTCAGCCCTACCCTGCTGGCTGCTTGCTTTCCTCCTCTTTCTTTGCTACACCTCCTTTTCTGTCTGCACCCCTCTCCTCTGTTCCTCTCTTCTTCTTCTTCAGGTTATTTGATGTTCCTGTCATCACCTCCTTCTGTGCAGCTGCTTCACGCTTGTGACCCAGTCTAATGGAAATGCTTCAGTTTGTCCCCCCAATTTTATCCCTGTCAGGGCGTAAAAGCCTCTGAAGCAGCACTTAAACCACAATAGGACACTAAAGCCTTCCACTGAGTATCACACTGATGACAGGGTTTGCAGCATTTAAAGACATTGTAGAACTCTTGGATTCAATGCATACATTTGGGATTTTTTTTTTTAACAATTTTGCATCTTGGTTAAATAAACATTAATGTAAAAATGTATCGGCATGTTTTAGATCTCATGTGATTAGCGATAAAATTGTGTTTCATTAGAGCAGGATAACACTGACAGATATTTAATTAAAGGCTCAGGTGTCTGCGGGTCCAGTTTTAGTGGCTCTATTTCTTCTTATTAGGAATGAAATGATTCATTGGTTTGACATCAGTAGTGTGATATCAGTCCTGTTGACCAGACATCCTCCTGTTGGCAAATTATGTGGCATGAACTGGTGTCAGTACCCGATTCTTTATCAGTTGTGTCATATCAGTGAAACGAGAGAAAATGTTGGCATAGTGGGAGTCTTACGCTAAAGCCATTTTCAAATTTTGCAGCAGTCTGCTATCCAACATGAGAGTGAGAATATTTGCCTTTATAACAGTGCTATGTGTAGTTTGGAAGAATAACAATACCAACAAAAGAGTGGAGAAGAACGTAATGCTTATCAGAAAACATCATGCAGCAGTTTAATTACATGCACGGAGATCGTAGCGGAAATCCCAGAAATAAATGACACCACCCTCTCCCCTTTGCTTGAGGTGAGTTCTTCTGGTTATATCCTGCTGCAAAAATACGAGAGTAGGAGAAACCCCGGGCTACAGCTGAGTGGAAAATTTGGCTGTTTGCGTTCATGCAGCATGCAGCTCCTCACTTTTTAGAAGTTTTGTGAAAGAGTGAAAGCCAAACAAAACCTTTGTATTGGTATCTGCAATCAGCTTAATAGTTGTTTTAAACGTTGGTATTGGCCCTGATTTTCACAATCCCTGCATCTCTTCCTCGTATTCATCTTGATTTTCACGACTCTTTCTCCCTCTCCACCGTCTATCTCTTTGTTTCTCTCCACCGAGCAGCTCCCTCATCATGCACGGACCATAAACCACAGCGGTGTAATAACTTAAGACTGCAGAAGTGGAGGATGCTAAGGTGCAGGTTTTTAGACTGAGCATTACATCTCCTTCCTCCGCCCTGCAGTCAGTTCTCTGTTCATTACGGGGGTGGTGCTAAATGACAACAAAGTACAAATACATATTTTTACAGGCACAGATGGTGCTCCGATGACTTGTTAGCCGGAGGAGTGAAGCACTGGGGTTTATGTGATGAGATTCAAGGAAGTCAGAGTGTGAAACAGCGTCCTGCAGGGCAGTAAAGTCACAGTGCGTTTAATCGGCTTCTGATATTACCAGCAGGACAGAGTCGCTGTGTGTTTTTCAAAGAGCTTCCGTCATGATTGCAGTGGAATAAAGACAGGCCGGTCATGTGTTTGCAGAGGTCGTTATGTAACCGAAAAGAAGTGTTCAGGTAGGATACCTTTTTTTAAGATTATGAGGTAATCATTTAAGAAGATTTGCCTCTCCATTTGTGGGCCAGAGTCAGATTCCAATAGCAGTCACAAATGTTACGGCTGTATGTTTCTTCTATTAGATTCTAAAATTGTTAAAACATGTAGAGTTTGCATCTGTAAGGATATAACACAAGAATTTAAAGAGATAAATCACGTCGCTCTTTGGGGCCTTGTTATATCCCCAGTCTAGGGGGACTGAAACACAAAAGTGACCCCCACTATTCCTTCTCCCAAGAGTGCCAGCAGAAAAAATCAAATTCAGAGTGAAAGCAGCAGTTTAGGGGTGCTGATAGCCTAGCGGTTGTGTTTGGTACCCCATGTACGGAAGCTCTTGGGGGGGGGGGGGGGGACAAGGCAAAAATGCCCCAAAAACATATTTTAAAAAGCAGCATTGTAATTGACTACACAGTTAAACAATGCCTAAAACAACAAACACAGCTTAATCTCCTCTAACCAAAAACAAAAGTTTTAACCAATTACAGTTTTGTAGCCTGGTGTCCTAAAACACGTAAACAGGAGGAAAAGGGTGAAAAAAAAAAAACGAGATCACAGAGCTACATGCTGGTTTTGTTGGGATGTGAGGTGAAGGCAGAGCAGTGCTGCAGCCAGCTGAGATTTAGCTGTGATGTGAGGCGTGATCCAAACAGGAAGCAGCAATTTCAGTTGAACTGATCAATCAGGAGCAGCACCTGCATCAGCACCTGATTTACAGACAGACACACAACCACAGAAATACACCCACACACTGACTGCAGGGAAGAGACAGAGCTGCACAGACCATAATACACAACTAGGCCTAGTGTGAGTGCGCCCTGAGACCAAAAACTAAGCTTCTCTTTGTCCAGTATCCCCTGTCCCTCGCCCGCCGCTTCCCCTCCTCCCTTCCTTTAGTGTTCTGATCAAGTGTAGATTTAGTAGGTTTAGATTTACAGCCTGAAGTTGATTCGGTTCTTAATTCTTTGAAGTATTTTTCAACCAAATAAAAACATTTCTTTGGTGTGGAAAGTCTTTTGGCTCCTCTTGACGACCGTTGTGCTGCTATACATACATGTCCCTGATGGGCGGCCTCTTGACGACGCATGAACAAGCTGCAGATAGCGTCGCCCTGTTAGTGTGATCACAGTGCTGAGAACAACAAACCAAGAGGGAGTTTGACTTCACTTCTTTTTTTTTTTAGAAATTCATTACTCAACGATATGTTAAGTTAGGATACATTTGATATCTGCATTTTATATTATATATTCATGTTTAAAATCTTTAAAATGATACCTTTGCACATCTGTTTTCTCCCTTTTGAACACATGCTTAATGCCGTTACGTTGTAGTTTATTTGGTTTAGATTCAGGCACAGAACCAGACAATACATCATGGTGTTGGTTAGGATATTGATTTAGTGTTTCTTTTGTTTTCACACAAGAACCAAACTGCAGTCTCCTGAGCATTTTTTGGAGCAATTTATTGTGGAAGTAGTCCGACTGTAAAGAAGATAAATATCTCACATATTTTCCAGCTGCTGCTTGAAATGGACTGATGAGGGTAGGAAGAGTGAATGAAAACAGTTCCAACCAAACTACGATACTAAAAGACACTAATCCAAGCTATTTTTTTTTACTGCCTTTGTGACCGAATTTGACACCTTTCACTTCACTCAACCATCCTTTTGTAACATAGACGTACAATAACGCTGTAAAGAGAAAATGGTAATGTATTCAGTATTGAGGCTGTTCTTTTTGTTAGGTGTTGTGGCATCCTGTAGTTTAGTTGGCAAACATGCAAGAGCCAGAAAGCAAAGACACTA